TATATATTATATATATATATATATATATATATGTCCAGTATACATTGAGTCATCATAAGGGTACCAGGTATGGGTCAAGTCATAGGACACAGAGTCAATGCACAGTTTTCTAGTACATAACATACTTTCCAAAATCAGAACTTTTAGTATACAACACTAGAAACTTACCAGTTAAGGGTTTAATCCATTTTATTAAACCAGTATAAACTTAAAGGACCTTAGATGATTTACTCTATAATACTTTAGTTTACACAACATGGTTATATATCATTGATACCCAATAGGTAGTTGGATGTGTGCTTTCCGCCTTACTTCCTGTTCCTTGTTTGGTTGTGGGCTTAGGGCAGATTCACCCAATCAAATCTCTATCCGATATTAGATCATATATAGCCAGTATAAACTAAGTGATTATAGGAGTAATTACTGTGGGCACCATTTTATAATAAGAAATAAGAGTTTTCTTAAAGAATCTTTCCATCGAATATAAAAGAACTATTATAGTTAACTCCGTGAGTATCAAGGGAATACACCAGGGTTATATACAACAAGGATCTAACAACCAATGGGATGTGTGTCATCCGCCTCATTCCCTGTTCCTTGTTTGGTTGTGGGCTTAGGGCAGATGCATACAATCGATTGTTTGTTTACTCTGGTTTTTATATAACTTGTATCCATTTAATACTCATAGAAAGGACTTGGAGTCATTTTTTTACTCATCTTTCATCAAAGCAGGAAATATAGGATTTCCTGGAGGAACAAGCGAATTTTTTTCTAAACAGAACTTACAACTCACTACATTTTGCAACTACAGTTTCAACAGCATTTTACTACAACATTTTACAACTTACTTACATCACTAAAATCTTATGAACTCACCAGCTTAATTGCTGATCAACTCTTTCAAATAACTTGTATTCTCAGGAGCCTAGTAGACGGGTACTCGCATTGGGATGTAGAAGATGGAGCAGTATAGCTTCAAGTCTTGTTTGTTATTTTCTTATGTATTCTATGTTTTGTGAACACACATTGTAAACACTTTCTTTCTAATTAAATGGTTTCTTATTACTTTGATTACTATGATGCATGTCTTGTGATACTAAACATGACGTCCTCCACCCCAGAACGTTTCCGTCGTTCCAGTTTTTGGGGTGTGACAGAGTTGATATGAAAATGCTTTGTAAAAACTTTTCTGAAAGCTATGAAATTAGATTTCCAATATAAAAGTTTCCCTTATGCTCAACATATTAAAAAGGGATAAAATATCCGAATATGTTATTAAATGTAGAAATCGTTGGATTGTATTTATAAGTTTAATACTTAATAAAATACTTTGAGTTTGGCTTGTATTCCCCCTGAAAACATTAAAAACACGGAAAATGTAGGGGTATGAACTCACCTGTATTGAGTGGTTCTGACGTGTGGTTGGAAGAGGAGTGCAGAGTGTCAGGTGTAACCTTGAGCACACAAAGATCCTAATAGACACATATAGACACGTATGTGTATGAATTTAGTGTATAGACGACTAAATAAGAAGGGTAACACCCTTATTGGCTAGGAAACTCTAAGATTTATGGGATACAATCACATATGATTGCATAACTAGGGTATATGGTCACCCTATAGAGTTTACGGTCAAATAGGTATGATCATTGGAGTTCACGGTCCAAGTGTTCACGGTCTTAGGTGTTTACGGTCTTAGGTGTTTACGGTCTTAGTGTTTACGGTCTTAGTGTTTACGGTCCAATGACCTTACGGTCATGGAGTTCACGGTTCATGGGTTTACGGTTCATGGGTTTACGGCCCATGAATATACGGTCATTGAAGGGTGTACGGTCTAAGGAGATACAACCGTAAACTCATCAATCTTGCACAAATGATGGTTTTCAAGGGCTTCATTCAAAGGCATCGGATTCTAGGGACCATGCTTAGCCTTAGGAAGGGTAAAGGCTATAAGAACACCCTTTATAAGGGTTTACGGTCTATGAAGATTCATAGGACCGTAAACTCTTTTGTTCAAGCAAAGAGTGATGATCTTAAGTCCAAAATGAAGGATTTTAACTCGATTCATGCAGGGGAAGATGATACTTACGGTTTTTGAAGGCAAAGAAGGTGTTTTCGGTCCAAAACACAACCGTGTTCTTGAGGATCTTGAAGATATTCTTGAGGATTTCTTGAGCAAACTCGAAAATTGTAGAGAGAGAGTAGAGAGAGAAAGTCTTTAGAGTGTTTAAAGTGTGAAATGAAGGCCAAAATACCCTATATATAGGATGGAGTTCTCGGTCAGGGGGGTCCACCTGGCACCGACTGTAAACTGGGTTTACGGTCTACACGAGTTTACGACCGTAAACTCGTCCTGACCGTGAACTCGGCGATTTTCGAGGAAGTTTCAAGTTTTTCGCGTGATTCCCGGTTTATTCTGAATCGTATAAAAATACATTATTTATTTAAAACTTAAGGTCCTTCCCAAATTAAGAAATTTGACGGAATTTAATAAAAACCCAAATTTTATTAACGGAAACTGGGTAATGATAACGGGAAAAGTTTCGGGTTGTCACAGATATCATTCAATTGAACAAAAGAACATTTCAGTCATAACAAAATTTAGAAATCTTTTCATTTCATTCCAATGATGTTTTCCAACGGGAACATCATTTAAGCTCATAATTTAATAAGATCCTTTCGGATCACATAACAAGCAAGTAATAAACACAATCATTAAACTCTCATTAACCCTAGGATTATCAAACCGGTTTCAAATTCACAAACCTAGGATTTTAGAATTGGTTTCAATTCACAAAACTAGGATTACCCAATTGGTTTCAAATTCACAAAACTAGAATTGTAGAATTGGTTTCAAATTCACAAAACTAAGCTTGTGTAGAACTTCTAATGGCTAGAGTATAAGTTCTCACCCAAATAGGGTTTCAAATCCTAAAATTTTTCATTACAGATAGAGTCAACCACTTCAATGGTGAAATTGTGATACATTGGTGATTTTTTACAAGTTTCTAGCGATAAAACATACACAATGCATAGAGTGGTCATTAAAAATTGTATCTCTCATCATAAGTAAGGTTTGAAAACCCAAAACTCAACCAAATGATGAATCAAACTCTTAAATGCAAGGCTTAATATTAGAGTCATAATCTAAGATTGATTCAACACTATATATCTTCTAGAACTTCGTTATTAATTCAAAATTTTGAATTCTACTTTGAGAATCAAACCCTAACATGAAGGAGATGGGAGGATAAGGCGAGCTTATACCTTGGCTATAATTTTACTATTCTCCTTTAAACTTACACTAAATTACTATATTCTTCTCCAAATCGCCATGGGAAAGCCTTCCCTCTAAAATCTATCGTTCTCTCTCACTCTCGCAATGGGGAAGAGACTGGTTACATATTTTTATATCTATGATTAATTGGCAAGAATAACCTTATAAACTAGCTACATACTTATATATCTATGATCAATGGGCAAGTATAACCTTTCTAGTTTCTTATTTCCATGTTATGACACTATCCATAAACTTTTATGAAAACTTGCAAAGCATAGCCTTATTTCATCACAAATCTAATAAATTAATCTTTTGACTAGGTAATAATAGTTTTGGAAAGTTTAATCAAATTGACACTTCTAATCCATACTTAAAAAATATTTGAAGTATATATAAGCTCTCGAATTCATGAATCCTCTTTATTTCTCAATAATGATTTATTTAAAAATTATAAATATTTTTATTTACTTATTTAATTCTATATTTTAGCTTATTTATTGGAATTCAATTTGATTATTTTCATTTTATTTTTTTTTTCCAAAAAAAGTTATTTTTGCACTAAAAATGGCGAAGTTCTAGATCCAAAATTATATATGATTCTCAAAAGGGTAGTTTCTATAACATTATATTTGTATCAAATTATTAGGCAGGAAGCTCAAATATGAAGTCATCAATATTGTTTTGGATTGAGAAAGGTTATTACCGAAGGCTAAGGTAGTGGTCGGACGAGGAATCGCCAAAGGTGAAGATAGAGTAGGCAAGGGGTGGGGTGGGGGTGAGACGTTGAGGGATGTGAGTCCATTTTTATTAATTAATGACAATATTATTGAAATATATTAAAAAATTATAAAAAGATATTTAAAAGAAAAAAAATAATCATTTCAATTCCAACAAATACCAAAATTACAACAAACTCTACCAAAAAAATTATTTACAAAATTGAAACTATTAAGATATAATTCAAAGAAAATAGCAAACCACGCTAGGGGTGAGCTGAGTTCCGGAACCGAGGAATCAAGAACTAGATTTATGGATATTGAGGAATCGAGAACTGAACCGAATTGTATATTATGTCCCTAATCGATTCGGGTTCGGTACGATCCCAACGAGTATTTTGCTCACTCCTACTTGTTACGGTCTAGAACCGGAACCAAACCGAACCAATCAGGAACCGAAAAACTGAGAACATAACTAAATTACATATCCGGTTCCGATTCGATTGGGTTCTAACAAGTATTTTGTTCACTCATAATTGTTAGGTATCTAGACCCGGACGAACCAAACTGGAATAAAAAAATTGAAAAACAAATTTATGGATATGAAAAAACCAAAAACCGAATCAATTTACATATTCGGTTCCTAATCGATTCCAGTTTCGGTTCGTTATTTTGCTTATCCTAAATCACACATATACCATTTTTATAGTTTTTTTTTTTGTGAGTTTTTCACCTCCAACAGGAAAACGGGGGATCGCATTTAAAAAAATGCACTCCCAAGTTCCAACATTTTTTGCTGGTCCAGTTGTGAGTTTCTGAATGAATTACACCTCAGCAGGTAACCAGGCAGCATAAGGCTGTGAAGATGGCGACACTTTCAAATGCTAACGCGCATCATCCCCTGACCACCGCCACGTTTCTTCCGTGATCCGCCGTCCCTATACATTAAATACCACCTTGCTCTCTCTCTCTCTCTCTCTCTCTCTCTCTCTCTCTCTCTCTCTCTCTCCAATGGACCTCAAAAATCGCTTCACAACTGTTTTCTTGCTCTTCCTCCTCTTCGCCATGCCTACTTTCTCCAGAGGTATGTTCGGTTTCCTTAAGCGTGGATCACATTTCATGCTCTCTCTCACTCACATAGTCGCACAGCTTTTTTCTATGAGTTTAGTTTTTCATTGATTCATACTGTATAAAATATCTCCATATCAAAGCATTTCGCAATCACCGTGTTGTTTAATGTTTTTGCTTTTGTGGTTGAATGAACTCCGCCTCTAAGAAGAGTTCACCTCCAGAGATTAGATTTTGTGTTTCATAAGCTTACGCTATATATTATTTGTAATTCTGCAATTTGATTGTTTCAAATGTTTACGAAGAATTAAAGTAGCTTAGCAACAAGCGTTCGTATCTTAATCTTATTGCTTAGATTCTTCATAGTTCGTTCGAGTTGTGTGATAGTTTTGATCGTGGATTCGGATATGTGTAGGTCGGTTGATATTGCCTACCGCAAAAGTGAATTCGGAGATTTACGAGATCGATTACAGGGGACCGGAGACTCACTCTTACATGCCTCCGCCGAACAAATCCGGCGGCGTCAACACTAACGGTTGTCCGATGAAAAATCACAAGGCGTCGCATTCTCGTTCCAAAAGGCTATCAACTGAAAACGCCACAAAAGAGGTATGAACTATGAAACCCTAGATGCATTAAAAATGGAAAGGAATTATTGTTCAATGTTGAAATTAAATGGATTACGTCCCCACTTGAACAACCAACTAGATGCATTAAAAATGGAAAGGAATTATTGAAACCTAAAGAATGATAACATATAAATCCATAAAGCATGATAGTTAGATATGCAACAGTTATTAAAAAATCAAAATTTTGATTATTTATTGATGTTTGTTTTGATCCTAAGAATCAAAATTTTGTAATCAAAATCATTGAATATATACTCATACTATCCCGAAAATAGATAAGATTAAATAAATAATTGTTATAGACAGTTAAAATCAGTATCTGAAAAAGGGTTGTTAATTAGCTCGAGTTGGCTAAAAAGTTGGACCAACAAGTTCCAAGGCTGCTTGGGTTGTCATGGAACTAGATTTACTAAAATTTAAGATACACACATTATTATAATTCCATTTTTATAAACATTATATTTATTAACCAGATAAATCTTTTTATTTCTATTTATTTTAGGTGAAGAAGCTTCATGGATGAAGAAATCGAGCATTGATAAACCAAAAGTTTGAAAAATATGTATTTGATTGATCATTGAACACATGGTGATCAACTTAAATCATTTTAAAGCAATTTGGCTGTTTTTCTTTTAACATTTTTTTGTGCAGTCTAAATTATATTGTTTGAATTATGTTCTTTCCTATTTTTAGTGTGATGGTTTGAAGTTTGAAAGGGTGTTTATTAGTACAAGCCTTTGATTGGTTTAATTGCTATTTGATTAAATTTTAAATTCTTTTGTTGTGATTATTGCAACATATAGATGTTAAACATATAATTTGATAAACTATATTCTTAATTAAATGGTAAAATATGATGTAAGACTTATTTATTGGAATTTGATGTGTCAGCATTGAAGAGAGTTTATGTTGGGATTCAGTACACTCATATAAGCAAAGTAGCAAACCAACAACAAAATGGAAACAAAACTGGACAAAAAAAACAATGGCCAATAATATTAAAAATATTCAATTGAATAATGTGTAAACAATCAACTATATAAACTACCAATCATATAAAAAACAGAGATTTATCTGGTTCCTAATTCAATGTGATAGTTTAAACGCCACATGAAAAGAGAAGATATTTTAGTCCAACGAGAACTAAATCCCAGGAATTGTAAAACGCAGAACCAATATAGCAATGTATTTCATAAACCCATTTACCCACTAAATGAAAGCAATTTGCTTTGATATTAAAGAGCAGCTTACATAAGCCAATATTTTAGAATAAGAGTTTACATCAATGATTATTTTCTTCTTCATGAATATAAAAAGTCAAATCACTAATCATAATAACATTATTAACTACAAATAGTTAAATGTGTAAAACACATTTAAAATTTACCGTGTTCTTGATTCATGAATATGAGTTTGGACTTTGGAGAGCACATTTAGAAGTAGGTTACGTTTATTTTGATGGAAGTGAGTAGTGTAGATTATTAAGCGATTAAAAGAGATCAAAGAGATCGGGGTGGACTTTAGTTGTATATTAAACAGATTTGGACCGGAAAAGATTGATGCACTACGATGATGGTATTATATTTTTATCACTTAAACCAACGAACTTTAACCAACTTTTTTTTATTACATTTCATCTTTTTGTTAAGCAATATCTTTTTTTTTTCAAAAATGTAACATCTTTATTTTAGGTTTAGAAGTTTTGGACATTTTGTGAAAATAATTTTTTTATAAAGTACAAAGAACTGATAAAAAATTAAGCAATTGAATAAAATAAAATTTAGTCGTTTTAAATAAAGAAGATGAATTCAATGTTAGGAATTCACTTAAAATATTATTAAAATCAAATTTAAGAACATTATAAGAGTAAAGTTTAAAAATGATAACTTTATAAAAGGTAGTATTTACCCTAGAGTTGACTTTATTAACCTTATAGGACGTAAAATGTTAGTAAAGTAATAGGAAACGATGAATGGTGAAAATATATAAGTTAGGTTCCGTTTGATAGTTTCTGTTTGGGAAAGTGCTGTCTGGTAAAGTGCTGTCTGAGAAAGTTTTCTGACTGGGAAAGAAACCATATTGTTTGATTGTACATCTGATTGACTGTGTTGAATGATTAAAAATGACCCGGTTTATGTCTGATAGTGGTGGGATGGATGAGATTTTTTTAAATAAATTAGGATGGTGGTGGTATTGTTAAAAAAAAGAATTAATCCAATAAAAATGAATTAAAAAAATTAACTAAAAGAAGATAATAATCCAATAAAATAATATTTATTAATATATAAATAATATATATTTTAAATAATATTTATGAATATATAATAATCCAATAAAAAAAATTAATCCATAAAAAGGAAACTAAAAAAAGAAGTATTTAAAAGAAATTAATCCAATAAAATAATATTTATTAATATATAAATAATATATATTTTAAATAATATTTATGAATATATAATAATCCAATAAAAAGAATTAATCCATAAAAAGGAAACTAAAAAAAGAAGTATTTAAAAGAAATTAATAATCTAATAAAATAATATTTATTAATACATAAATATTATATATTAAAATAATATTTCTTAATATAAAACAATACATTAAAAACGTAATAATTCAATAAAAAAATAAATTTAAAAAAGTTATTTAAAAAAATTAATAGTCCAAGAAAGAAAGAAAGAGGCGGGGTTTGGTGCATAATTGTCTTTCCAGCCCATTCAGCCAGAAAGATATGATTTTGGGGCTTTCTGGGAAAGACATATCTTACCGGGAAAGACCATTTTTTGTGCAAATTAAACAGTCTTTCCGGTCCATTCAGCTAGAAAGATCTGTTTGGACCTGAAAATATGCGTATCAAACGGGGCCTTAGTCAAGTAATTAGTCATAATGAGTAAATCAAGTAAAATGGGAAACCTGAGGGTAAATATGTAATATTTTTCTAAGCATATAAGATATTTAGTTCTCCTTTTGTTCCCAAATTATTCAGACATCTAAAGAAGAGAGATTTGAGTAGTGAAGTTGTTGCTCTCCTTTTCCCATGGTGAAATTTATGCTTGTTTGTTTATTTATTCCCTTGTTTCTTGTTTTCTTATCTAATCTCTCTATTTTATAATTAGGGTTTTGAGTTATGATGTCAAACTGAGTTTAAAGATCATTCTATGTTCTAATAGAGTTTCAAAACTCTATTTTTATTATTTGATTCAATCTCCACGCAACAACTTCCTTATAGATCCTATATTGAAGATTTGATGAAGTTTTGGGTTTAGGGATGTCAACGGCGGCAAACGGGACGGGGAGTGCTCCCCCACCCCCGCCCTTGAAATTTCCCCGTTCCCCCGTTCTCGCCCCGCCCCCGAAATGTCCAGACTTCCTACCCCCGCCCCCGCCCCCGAATCCCCCTTATTACTGTAACACATGTTCCAGGTATTATTAATTTATCTAATTTTTAGGGTTTTGTGCATGGACTCGGCGAGTTGGGGAGCTCCAACTCGTCGAGTAGAGATTATTACGAGGACACGGGACCTCAAGCCTACTCGACGAGTCAGAAGGTCCCGACTCGACGAGTAGGCGCTATAAAGGGAAACCCTCATTTTTAGGGGTTTGTACCCTACTTAAAGAGCTTATGGCTCATTTGTAGCCTCTTTCATCGTTCTTACAGTCCAGAAAGAAACCATAGCCGCATTTTGGTGCTTTCTTGAGTGTGTGTGAGCCTTGGATAGTGGAACTTGTGCTTTTGAGAAGGAAACTTGAAGGTTGAGGAGATTGAAGAGAGGAGAAGACTTTGGATCCAGCATCTACTTGTTGTTAGCATCGATTTAGAGGTAATAGTTGCTACCTTGATCTCTATTTGCTTAGATCTCATTTTATGGAAGATTATGGTCACTTTTGGTGCAAAATGGGGTCATACTCGGATTTGGACTTATCACAAGGATATGGTTCCAGATCTGGACATCTCTAGGTCCTCAATGGCATAAAGTTGGTCAGTTTATCCAACTTAGGCCCTTTCCATTCACTAAAACCTTGTAGGAAGATTAGTTTTGACGTTTTAGCCTTGTGAGGCCTTGCATGCACGTAAAATTTGCAACTTTACGTGGTAACTGCACTAGGGGAGGTTGGATCTGAAGTTTGCGACCTTAGATCCCCCTGGAAAAGACTGAACACAAAAGGACTGAAGGAACTCATCGAGTCCCTTAGTCGACTCGACGAGTCGGGTAGGGTTTACCCGTTTTCGAGATTCTGAATGAGTGCAGTGAAGGATTAGGGTTTTGGTCTGCATGAACTTTTGGACTTCTGAACATTTGATGAACTCGACGAGTCACTTAGGTGACTCGACGAGTTGACTCGGGATTCAGTGAAATGGAATCGGGAGGAACTCGACAAGTTGTTGGATGTACTCGACGAGTTGAGGTCAACATGGACTTTTGACCTTGATTGTTGACCTTGACTTTGACCAGGGTTGACTTTGAGGATAATCATGGTAAATCGGGATTATGACAAGTTAATCACATGATGATTGTAGGCAGTTGAGTTGGAGCAGTGTGTGAGATTTATCTGATCTTAGCTTGTCAGTTCAACATTCGAGAGGTGAGTCTCTTCACCATACCAATGGGTCTAAGGCACCAAGGTCGGCCCATTTTGTGATATGTGGTACACTAGTTGAAGTAGAGATATGTGTTATGATAGTTAGCTATATGCTAAATGGTATGCTAGTGATTATATGATACTTGCAGGGAAGACCATGGGGGGAGCCCATGGCACTTGGATATGAGACCATGTGGGGGAGCCCATGGCTTGTTAGTTAAAGACCATGGGGGAAGCCCATGGCAGTCGGATGAAATACCATGTGAGGGAGCCCATGACTTGTCGGTTAAAGAACATGGGGGGAGCCCATGACACTCTGGAGTAAGACCTTGGGAGGAGTCCAAGACATCCTTATATGTTTGTATGCATGGCTTATGTGATATATATAGATTTTATAGCTAATATGATATGTGTTATGTGAATTGTGTGTGGAGTATGCTCTGGGGAACTCACTAAGCATTAGCTTACAGTTTGTGGATTTGTTTCAGGTACATCTGAGGCCAAGGGCAAGGGAAATGCTTGATGGCGCGACATGCACTCTCTCTCAGGCGTTTTTATAGGACACTATGATGTTTTGAAATAAAATTGTAATTGTTATGAATTTTGAAAACAATTGTATTTGGGATTTCATGGTTTGTGGAAAGTATTTTGGGTAATTAAAAATTAAAATTTTCTTTTGAAAATTGGGTCGTTACAAGTTGGTATCAGAGCCTTAGTTTGAGGGATTCGGGCACACTCTCGGCTGTGTTAGGACTCAAAAAAAGGAAATGGTAAAATTGTTTTAAAAAAAATAAAAGTTACAAACTTTTTAAGAATGGAAAAGAAGAGAGTACAATGGGCGTGATCGGCCGAGCCAAGTAAGTAGTTCCCGAATATGTTAGCCATGTTATACTGATATTTAAGTTATGATAATCGTATGGACCTTGCTATGTGTATGCTTTTAAAATTATATACGGTTAGGAGCTTATAGCCTTAGAATGATTGATTTGGCCTTATTTCCTGTTCCTCGTCTGGTTGTGGTCCTAGGGTAGTATCTCTTATTCGAAAGTCTATTTGATCCTTTTTTGTGTATAATTTGCATGCATAAAGGCAACCTATTATGATTAGTTTGATATGGGTAGAGAAAATCTTAGGATAGCCTAG